GCTGGTTACTTAATTGGCAGCTTTATGAGTAAGTGCTTCTGGGGAGCGCTCAAAGGCAGGCCACGCTGCTCCCAGAGCCGGGGGACGTGGCCCGCGCTGGAGCCGACTCCCACCCTTTAATCTACCTGCGCGGCAGGTGCGGGAGCCAGCCTGGCTCAGCATGAGGACAGCGGGGGGCCTGGCACCCCTCTGTGGCTGCCGGCAGGGAGGGCCTCTGCCAAGTGCTTCTTCCAGAGGGCACAGGGGAAGGGTTTCAGACATCTACACCCGTGTCCCTAAGCACACCAGGAGAAACCTGGCACCTTGAGTACCACTGGTAGAGGCCCACGAAACAAAAAAGGGAAGGAGTGGGGAGGGAAGGGGAGGGCTTATTCTTCACCTATGGTGGATTTCCATTGCAGAGAACAAACATGATGCCCTGGGTTTCTGGTTGAGCACTGCACGTTCCCCCACCCCGAACACCAAGCTGGGAGCAGCCCCAGAAGGATCATTATCTGTGTGTGGAAACATGCAGCATAGGCTGGAGCTCCCCCAGGAGCTGGACTCTGGCCACACCAATGCAAGAAACTGCGTCCCCACTTACCGGCAGCTTGGAGAACTGTCCCCTCCACTCCTCAACCCGCAAGGGCCTGGATTCCTGGAACGAAGCCGTGGGCTGAGGCCAAAGGCCCAACTCGGAGGCTGGGGCCCTAGAACTAGACGTGATTTTTTCATAAATACTGCAGGGCATTTGCTAGGCAGAGAAATTGTCATGTGGATCCACTCAAGGAAGCGGCAGGGGACAAACGTGGCCCTGGGAAGGCAGCTCTCTGCCTGGTGCTCCGAATGACAGCAAGTGACCATGGTTGGGCTGACACCATAGTGTGTCACCCCCGAAGGATGCTTGGCCCGAGTTCTCCCCGGGGAATGGCCGGGGAAGTGGGAAATTGGGAACTCTCAGGTCGGCTTGGGAAGGCTGGGGCGGAGGTCACCGGGAGCATGTGTGTATTTCAGCGGAAGGTCAAGGGTCACACCTGAGGGTGGAAATGTCTAGAAAACTTCTGGAGAAAACAGAAATGGGTACTTGCATAGAAAACTTAGGCCCTCAAGCGTCTTGTCCTGGAACAGAAAAAGCTGAGCAGGAAACAGGCCCAACACTTTCAGTGGGGGCCAGGGGAGACGGTTCGTGGGCCCAGGGTTTTGCATGTGGGAGCCCCGGGTTTCATCCCTGTCACTGCAGTCCTCTGGGCACTGCTGGGAATGACCCCCAAACAAACCACATAGGCACCTGTGGAGGAACCGTCAGCTCGAGAATAAAGAGTGAGTGTGTGCCAGATAAAACAGATACTGTGCAGCTGGCATGCCCGCGCCTCCCAGCATCGTGGAACGCACTGTCCCGATCAAGCCCAACAAGGTTCTACTGGGAGGGCCTTTGAGGAGGCAGGAAGCAGCTGAGAGTGATTTTCAACTAGTTTGCTTTGAATTACAGCTGGATCCTGGGACCCTGCACACTCTTTGGCTCTACAGCGCTTTCTTTACTCCAGAAGTTTCCTGGTCTCCAAGAATGGGAAATCACTTAGCCTGTGGATGTTGGTTGCTTTGTTTAGGGGCGAGACCTGGAGATGCTCAAGGGAAATCCGGACTAAATGCTCCAGGACTAGGTACTATTTCCCGGGCGCTGCTAGCCCGTAAAGGTTGAGCTGAAATCCCCCTCAAAAATGGGCCTCACTGCAAAAATGAAAGAGCACACCTTAAGACTCCTCGGAGACAAGAGATCAGGGGTTCGAGTAGTTTATTTTGGATTGGGGGGCCATACCTGGCAATGCTCAGGGGTTACTCCTGGCTCTGCACTCAGGAATCACCCCTGGCAGCGCTCTGGGGAGCCTATGAGTTGCCGGGGATGGAACCTGGGTCCTCTGCATACAAGGCCAGCACCCTCCCTGCTGTACCCTCTCTCCGACCTCATGACTGGGTTTGGATTCACACAGAGGGTCTCTCTGGAGGAGGGTCCACAAAGCACCGGTTTGTGGCGTGGGGTTCAGACGTTTGCACAGGAGTCAAATTCCTCTGGAGGAAGAAACATCCGTGGGTCTCGAGGTGTCACTCCAAGTGGCAGAGAATAAGCCTCGCTGAGTTCAATCTTTAGCACCACCACTGCACCCCTGGGCACTGATGCGAATGGCCCTGACAGCCCCCAAGCATTTCAGGGTGGTTCACAGTAGTAGCACCAGACAAAAAGCAAAAAAACAAACAAACAAAAAAAAAATCTGTCAAATGCACCATCATCTTAGGAAAATTGTTTTAAAATTTTGAGCACATTTACAAGACATTATGCGACCTAGTATCTTCCTGACTCTTTAATTATCTAAAACTTCCTGACCCTTTGATTATCTAAACTTAGGTGATTGGAGAATCACTGATAGGACAGACTCCTTCCCTTTGTGTTTTAGAGAGACTTGTGCCAACTTTGGGTCCAATTATCAGTATTTGGCAGTGAGCTGTTAAAACTTCTATGGGTAAAGTTTTATCATCAATGGAATGTGGGAGATGGGTCACCAGCGTGCCAAGTTCTCACCTGGATGCAGGTGATACAAATCCCGCTTCTTCTATTTTGGAAACTACTTGGCATGTGAAAAAAATAGATATGTATACATGTATATATTCCGAAGCAAGGAGATAACTCTGTTGGATCAATAAGCCGGTTTTGCAAATTGTCTTTCAGCTGAAAAAACAATTCTGCACTTACATCACCGGGAGAGGGAGTGACTCACGATCTCTCAAAGCCGCACGGCGGCAGCTCCCTGCTGGTCAGTGGGCCTCGTGCCCAATGGCTCCTTCGTGGTCTTCACTCGTGCCAAGCCCTGGGCAAGTCAGGACGAGGCTCGGCGTCTCACTTCTGCCCAGGGTGCTGTGCCGTCTGGCCTCCCTCCTGCACAGGCCGCTATTCCCAGTTGGAGGGTCCTTCTCCACCACACTGGACTTGTGTCATGTAGAGGCGGTGCATTTTGTCACTATGGTTCATTGGCATACATAATCATCGCAGATTTTATGCTGAACTCCGGGACAAAAAAGTGAGGTGCACACATTATGTGGATTTTTTACAAGTGTGATGCCATTATTAAAAACTGGGTGTGTTGACTATGCAGTGGGGACAATTTTGTGAAATAGAGTGTTTTGTTTCTCTTGCCTGCAGGCTACAGACATCCGGTTGAGGGTTCAGTGATTGGAGGGGGCCCTCCCCACTAGTTCTCAGGAGGCGGCAGCGGTGAACAAGACCCAGAATGCTGAGTGCTGACCTTCAAGAAGAGGTGTGTGTGGGGGTGGGGGTGGCGAGGGGAAGCTTCAAAGGTGGGGGTAGGGTGGGGATATTGGGGATAACTACCCTTTCTCGTCTAAAATGGTCGTTTTGATGGCATGTATGATATACAAGATCCCCAAATGACCTAAAATGGTCATGGCAGAAAGGTCTAGTTTTGACTTCTTTTTTCACCAAGTAGCCAGAAATAAGAAAAAATTCAAGGCGGGTCAGGAAGAAGAATCTAACAAAACAAATAAAACCCCCACAACTCCAGTTTGTTTTAAACCAGATTTGTTTTTCTTTTTCTTTTTTTTTTTTAATTCAAATTGACCCAAAGCAAAAAAAACTTACATTACAAAGGAAGAACAAAATACATCATGAAAGAAGAACACACTAGGAGTTACATGAAAAGCTCAATTTGTGGGGCCAGGCCCTTCCGCAGACACAGGCGGGCTCTGACGCGCGCCCCTGGCATGTCTCGAGAGACCTCGCCCAAGGTGGGCGCGCGCAGGCCCAGTCCAGCAGCCCACATGCTCCACAGCGGCCACGCCAGGCCGGGCAGGGCTGACCAGGAACTGAAAAATTAAACCGTCAAGTCCTCCGCAGCTAACAGGCATGGATTATTCTGTGGTAAATAGTTTAGAAAGATGGGAATTAAATAATCTAAATTAAAAAAAAAAAACAAACAACCAAACAAACCCCACTTGTTACTCTGCTGTACAATTTTCAACAAATATTTACAAAAAAAAATCTTGTTTTGAAAACATGAGGTTTGTGGTTCATTAATGATCATAATTTCTTTTTTTCTTAAAAAGCTGGCTTCTTTGGTGTACCTGCCAAATATATATCTTTTTTTTCCTTTAAGGTTTTAGAAATAGGCGTAAATAATAAGTTTCAAAGGAAACAGACAGTGACAGATTTGATGCTATTCTGAACATTTCAAGTCAAGATTCTGGGGGGAAGCAACAGCGACCCTCGGCTGGTTTTCAGAAGAGAGCTGTTTTCTCTACTCTTGGGGCCATGGAGGGCTTCGTGGCTGATCAAATTCATGCAAACGTGGGGCCTGTAATTGCCATTAAGAGGTTGGGGGGTGGGGGTGGGGGGAAGCCAGTCATGGACTCAAATGTGTTAGTTGTAAAACAGGGTCCGTGACATGGACTTGAGTAAATGACAAAATCAAATGTTCTTTGTACGTGTCCCAATCAATCAAACCTCAAACAATAAATAAAATGGAATTATATACTTCTTCATTAAATAGAAATCTCAGTCCCAGGAAGAGCTCTCATAATTTTTTTCCTTCCTTTTTTTTCCCCTCTCGGAAGTGACAGCAGCAACACAGAACAGAGCACTGACCTCATCTGATCTCGGTACCTGAAGCCCCCTAACTCACAGCCAGTGGCTGACCTGTTCGACAGGGAAAGAAGATCCTTTGGAATGAATGCAATGAACACACAGCGCTGAGGACTTGAGTTCTGTGGAGTGACAGGCACAGCCCGGCTCTTGGAAGGCAGGACCCCTGGGGACCGCCCCACTCCCACTTTTCCAAGGGGCTGCCAGACTTCATCACTTCCTGGCTGCTGGGGCTGCCAATGGCTCCTCCTGCTCCAGGCCGCCATGCTGAGCGTTGGAGCTCGGCTCCTGACACAAGAACTCTGGCGTGAGACAGCCCTGAGATGTTTCGAGAGCTGTCTCCTGGGGCAAGGAGTCAGGGTCTCCCTGCTACTCCACCAGGCGCCTGGCCAGTCAGTGATGGTCGGTCACTAACCCGGCCACACTGCCCGCATTCCCTCCAAGGTGAAGCACTGGATCAGATCCAAAGCTACCTGTGCAGAAAACCAGGTACTGTTCAGCAGACCAAGGTGGCCAGTTGGAAACCCAAAGAACAAACTTTGTGCTTGAGAAAAAAATGCCGCAGCTGGCTGGGAGGAAGTCACAAAAGCCAACTCCTAACTCGGAGGACCTGTACTTCTCAGGTGAAAGAGGTCTAGAACTAACGGCTGAGAATGAGAAATTCAGATGAGAGAAGCCCTTCATCTTGTAAACGTCTGAGAACACATTTATTACTAGTGTGTAGATCTTGGGAAATGTCTCCGAGCATTCTGAAGAATGAGACTGGGACATCTGAAAAAGGCTCTTCTGCCACAAGTATTAATCTGCTGACACATCCTGGAAGAGTATTGGTCCAAAGGCATCACTGCTCACCAATGCCTCTGGAACTTTCTCCACTGTGACTGACACTGACCCGGTCCCTGGTTCTCCTGCGAGCACATGCCCTATCATCCCAGAACAGGAAGGACTGTCCCAAGAACCTCACTGCAGGCCCCTGAGAATGACAGAGAATGTCGCCTTAGCAGATCAGGAACCTGCCACATGTACATACACATGTGCACCCTTTTGATTTTTACCCTTTCTTTAGAAAGTCTTTTTTTTTTAACTGAGAAAACCAAAAACAAAACCCTCAACAAAACTCTACCATGAAACCACTGAGTTATTGAACAGTCAAAGTCAAGTGGTTGACCAATATTTGGCGCTGTTTTTAGGAAAATACTCTACCATTAGGATGGGAACTTTTCAGTTACAGAAAATGAAGAAGAGAAAGCCCAGCATGGAAACTGCAAATGACAGACAGTGGCCGGAAACAGAGATGCAGGGGGCAGGGTGCGTCCTCCTGGGCCCGTCCGAGCTGGAATGATGGGCAGTGTGTGAAATCACAGATCAAATACACCAGAAACAGTATTGCACTGGAGGCACTGCTTTCGAAACAGAATACACTGGCTTTAGGAAGTTCTCTTTCCCATTCTTCTTTTTGTTATTTTAAACGCACAATCAACTAGAGGCGGATGGAAGAGACCCGCATCTCTGGGTAGTGTATGACAGTTGTGAAAAAAAAAAACAAAACAAACAAAAAAAAAAGGGAAAAAAAGTCAACAACACCAAAAATAAGTTAAAAACAAGAGCACGTCAACGGGAAAGCAGAGGTACTGGACATCATCCCAAAGCGACATTCACTAGGAACAGAGCCGTCTGCTACAGCCAGTGAGGACTCAGTAATAACGAATGAGGTGACAGCATCAGGTAGAAAAATGTCGTCGGGCATTTTCCAGGGGAACCCAGGCCCCCCGCCCCCCACCCTTCCCCCAACCTGGGTGAAACTGTGCGCCTGTTAAGAGCCCTGGCAGCTGGTTCAGAATACCGTACATGCCCGGGAGACCGTCCGTTTGGAAAGGGGCACATTCTCCAAATCTGCTTGTGTCATTTTTGTTTTTGGAAAAACCATTTCTGTTGCAAATGCAGTATTGTACAGAAAGCTTGGACCTCTCTGACTTGGACCAAGAAACCAAATTAAGACCATCAAGCGTGGCGTGTGTATGTGCATGTATGTGTGTTTGTGTTTATATATTAAAAACAAACAAACAAATAAAACAAAAGCCCTCCCCTACAATGAAAACCAACCAGAGAGGAAATCAATCGACCAACCAATCAACCAAAAGGTCTCTATCTGCTTCCTGACTTCAGAGCGAATCAGAAATTGCATAGGATACACTTTGCGCAAGGCGGGAACGCCTCTGAAGTATCTGGAATAGAACTTCTGATCTTGCTCACGGTTCCGTGGAGATCAGATGTCATCAAATTTGTGTTTTAAGTAGTCTTTCATGACCTTGGCAATCGGTAGTTCATCAAGTAGTTTGAGGTTTTGAAGGCCTATACATTGTCGAATCTTAATTCGGCACAGGTCCTGCAAGTTTCTCGGCTGTCCTAGAAGATAAGAGGGAAAACAAAAAAGTGAGATACGGAGTGAGTAGAGCAGGCCTGGGGCTTCTGCAGGCTCGAGGTGACTCCACAGAAGAAGTGCAGAGTTTGGGGTTGAGGAGCTGGGTCCTGCGGAAGGGCCTGGGGACATCCAAGCTTCAAGCCAGGCTCAGGTCAGCTCTCCCGAGAGAGTGCCGGGCCTGACACAAGCACCCATTCTGGGGATTCTGGGTCGGCTCTTCGGTTCCACTCCAGCCCACTAAGTCTACAAAGCCGGAAGGCCGGGGCATCTTTGGGAGACGCCATTCCTCTGGGCCTCCCTTCTGTCCGCCTGGAAAGGGAGGCGACATCTGCCCCCACCACAGGTCGCAGTCTGGACCATTGGAACGATACCAGTCACTGCTTCGAGCTTCCCCCACAGGCACACTGTCTACTTACCGTGATTGGGCCAGGGTAGGTTAAGGGTAGAAAGGTGGAAAAGACACCCCTTGGCCACTGTCAGCATCCACCTGACCCTCTGCTGGGCACCTGAGCCATCACACAAGGGGGAGGGGTGTCTGCTTTGCATGTTCGATCTCCAGCATCCCATAGGGTCCCCTGAGGCCACCAGGAGTGATCCCCGAGTGCAGAGCCAGGCGTCGGCCCTAAGCACAGCTTAGTGTACCACACTCCACCCCCCACCCCCCCTCCACCCCAACAAAATACCAAAACAACCCTCGGTTGTTAGCCACCTCAAGTGCACGTGGTCAGGAGGCCACGTCTTCTGCTTTGGAGGATTTGGTTCCACCAGAACAGACGGCCACGGCCCCAAGCCTGAACATTCAGTTCACAGCGTCTGCAGGCTTTGGAGTCACATAAACTCTGCTTCGGCATTTAACAGTAATAATAAAAAAGGCTGAACACAGCTCCAGTGCTCGCTCTGAGCAAGGCATTCTTCAGGTTCCCGACGGATACTAACTCGCTGCACCTTTTTACGAGCCAAGCGCTTTGATCCTCAGCCCCATTTCGCAGACTCCTGCGTCTCCGGGAGATGAAGTAACAGGCCCACAACCAGAGAGGCCTCCAACTACATGGTCTCAAGCCTGACAACTATGCCGAGGACCGGTCCCCTGCCCCCAACTTCTGTTCCTGCAGACGGTGTCCAGCACTCGCCTCCAGAGAAGACCGGGGAGTTTCAGAACTGCTTCGTCCGCCTTGAAATAACAGCCAGCCTGTAGACGGCTCACACTTGATGGCAAGGGCTTCCTGGGACCCTGCGGACCCCACTCCTGGGCACGGGGCATCTCCCCCAAGAACACAGAAACACAAATGCATGCAGACAGGCAAACACACACCTGGGTTCAGAGCAGCCCTCTTCTCAAAGGCAGATACTGTAGGTCCCGGGAAGCACCCTGCGATCTGGGCAAGTCCCAAACACCCATGAAGAGTGGGCGGGGGAAAGGTGCATAGAGGGGTATGGCTTGGGGAAAGATGACATTTTGCAAACTGCTATGACTCGGATACAACCGAAGGGTTCTAGGCTAAGTGAAGTCGGTCAGATAGACAAAGGGCTGGATAGAGAGGATAGGGGTCAAGGCAGCCCACTGACCCGGGCCCAAGTCCTGGTCCCCTGAGCACCACTACTAAGGGTGACTCCTGAGCACAGAGCCAGGAAGCGCCACTGAGCACTTCTGGGTGTGGCCACCCCAAGGAAAGTAAAAGACAAATACGGGATGATCTCACTCCTATGTGGAGTGTGAAGAGCCAGAGAAAGGGCTGAGCCAACGCCCGTGAAACCAAGACACCATCAACAGAATGAGGAACCCAGCAGGTCGCAGGAGGGAGGGGAGGGCAGATGGGGCCGTGGGAGGGTGGCGGAGGGCGTGGCCGCAGCAGGAAAAGCAAGGGCCAGAGAGGGAGCACAGTGGGCGGACCTGAGTTCAATCCCTGACACTACAGAGGGTGTCCTGAGCCCCGCCAGGAGTGAGCCCTGAGTGCAGAGCCAGGAGTGAGCCCTGAGTGCAGAGCCAGGAGTGATCCCTGAGCACAGAACCAGGAGTGAGCTCTGAATGCAGAGCCGGGAGTCAGCCCTGAGCACTGCCAGGTGTGGCCCAACACCCCCCTCCCCCCAAATCACAATGATCTGTGATGAAAAATGTAATCAGTACCAAAGCAAACCTGTTCCCTGTCAGACAACACATGACACTGATGGGAGAGTAACATTCAGCTGTAGGACAGGCTTGAGGACCCCCCGAGCCCACCTCAGCCCCGTGGAACCCACATCAGCTCATCTTCTGCACAGCTCTGCTTGCCCCACAGCGCGGCACTGTGAAACACTAACCTCAGCTGGCCCCCACCCGGCCTGATCGGGACCCAATCCCCGCCTGGGCCGGGCCTGCTTCAGGGTGCTGCTCCCCATTACCCAGAATGAAGTAACGCCTCATAAAGGGCCCAGGCCTCTTCAGAGCGGCTCTGTGGCCAGGCCTGTAGGAACACGCGCCTTCCGGGGTTACTTCACCCCGGCCCTGGGAGCACAGACACTGCAGTGGCGACTTTCTGAGAAACGTCTGGAGCCTGCGCCATGGCGACAGGACTGCGGGGAGGGCATTGGTCTTGCATGCGGCCAACCTGGGTCCGATCCCCGGCATCCCATAGGTCCCCTGAGCACCACCAGGAGTGATTCCTGAGTGCAGAGCCAGGAGTAACCCCTGAGCATTGCTGGGTGTGGCCCCCAAACAGAAAGAACCTGGAAATTTCTGGAGCCTGAGGACATCGGCACCTGTTTCCACCAGTCTGAATGCGGTTGGGATCCGTTCATGGTGGTGTCACAGTGCATTGGTCAGCGGCGTGCTCTGGAGCTGGGGAGGGTCTCCTGCACCTGGATGCTGAGCTCTGACCATGACACAGCAGCAGTGCTCATCACTGTCCTCGCTGAAGGGTGACCCTGTTGAGGCGTGGCCACTTAATGCCAGACATGCCCTCCCCATGGGCACTCATTTCCCCACCTCTTGGGAACAGGGATTTCCTGTCACCGATCGTTATGCGACCAGGAGTCAGAAAATCGGTCACCCTGTCCTTGCAAACCAGGAGGGGTGTAAATGTGAGTCTTATTTTTTTTTGTTTGTTTGTTTGTTTTCTGGGCCTGGCAGTGCTCTGGGCTCAGGGGCCAAGGACTTCGCCCAGGTCAGCTATGTGTAAGGTCAGGTGCCCTCCCTACTGTCCGCTTGCTCCGTGAGTTCTGCTTGAGAATTTGACTTTTCTTGTCTTGTTTTGTTGTCACACCCAGTGGTACTCAGGGATCGCTCCTGGAAGGTTCAGGGACGCTCTTGGATGTCGGGGATAGAACTCCGGTTGGCCAGATGCAAGACAAGCACCTTACCCTCTGTACTACTGCTCCAGCCCCAGAATTTGGTTTTCTTAAGAGACTGCAGGTTTGGGGGTCTGGAGTGATAGTACAGCAGGTTAGGGTGATTGTCTTGCATGAGGTTGACCCAGGTTTGATCCCCAGCATCCCATATGACCCGCTGAGAATGGCCAGGAGTGCTTCTGCAGTGCAAGCCAGGAGGAATCCCTGAGCATCACCAGGTGTGGGCCAAAAGTCAAATAAATAATAAATATAATTAAAGACTATTTCTTTAAAAAAGAAAGAAAGAAAGAAAGAAAGAAAGAAAGAAGAAAGAGAGAGAGAGAGAGAGAGAGAGAGAGAGAGAGAGATGGCAGGTTCTTTTTAAGTTTCCAGTTACTAGGGGCTGGAACTACAGTACAAAGGGGAGGACGTTTGCCTTGCACACAGCTGATGCAGGTTTGATCCCGGCATCCTGTATGGTCCCCTGAGCAAAGCTGGAGCAATCCTTAAATGCAGGGCCAGGAGTAAGCCCCAAGCACTGCCAGGTGTGGCCCCCCCAAACCAAAACCCAACCAACCAAACAAACAAAGCCCCCAAATTCTGATGCATTAGGTCTCATGTTACTAAAAATTAGTAATAAAAGGAAATCCCCGGTTCCCACTGGCCCATGTATTGGTTACTGGCTAAAGACCTTATGAGGATCAGTTGACCTAAGTAGGCAACGTGTACTTAAATGAAAACATATCCAACCAAGTGGGCAATATGGCATCTGCAGGGCTTAGGTAGAAAATGGAGGGTGAGGGGAGACAAGAGTCCATCAGGGGTTCTGGGGCCTTCCAATGTAGGCTGCCTCGAGTTCAGTGGAACTGGAAGCGCTCTGTGTGAGCACTGTTTCCAAAACTAGCTGAAAGAGTTCTTTTTTTCTCTTTCTTTCTTTCTTTCTTTCTTTCTTTCTTTCTTGGGGTAGGGTTATCATTTTAAAACAGGTGACGGATGCAAAAGATGTACCAATTTCCATGTCAATGAACCAATTCCAAAGTATCTGCAGAGTGTCCCTTAGGTACTGAACAAGGCACTAAACCAGCAGAGGGAAATGGGGAAAAAAAGGAACAGAGAGAGGAAAAGAAGAGAGAGTGAAGAGAGAGAGAAGAGAGGAGAGAGAGAAAGAGAGAGAGAGAGAGAGAGAGAGAGAGAGAGGGAGGAGAGGGAGGGACAGACAGGAGGGAGGGAGGGAGAGAGAGGGAGAGAGAGAGAAACAGATAGACAGAGACAGAGACCAGTGATGGGCAGGTTTCTGCAGGTGGTGGGCATTAGCCCCTCCTGTCAAGAAAGAAGAGTGTGGGGCTGGAATTGGGAAACTGAAGGGATGCACCCCGAAAGTGTCTGGCTCAGGGCTCACTAGCACTTGGGGGGGTGGAGAAAAAAGGGCCCGGGAGTTGCGCCCACAAACTCCGATGGAATTACATAACAGTTCAAAGGATTCTTAGTCTCTCCACGGGGTGAAGACACCCGTCATTAGGAGTAATTGGGCTGGCAGAACGGAGGAAATCGGCTTTGAAAAGGTGATGGAGCATAAATCACACACACGGCTGCCTCAGCCACGTCCTCTGGATGGGCCGCCCTCGCCCTCTAACAGACACAAGGACTCTCAGGATCACGCTATGCAGGTGGGGACACGGAC